GAACAAAAAATCTCTCTCTCTCTCTCATTCCAGCGGGGCCCCTGCAGGCGGGCTGATGCCCCCACATTGGCCAGGGTCAATCTTCTTTATTCCGTCTCCTGATTCAAATGCGAATCTCTCCCAGACACACCCACACAGACACACCCAGAGGTATTTACCAGGAACCTGGGCGTCCCTTAGCCCAGCCCAGTTACTAGTAAACGTAACCATCACATGATCACATGGAGGTAGTAGATTTAAGTGCTTGACATCCCAGAGGAAATCCAGATCAACGTTTCTCTTTTCCTGGTGTTTAAACAGACACCATCAGAGCACTCATTGGCAGGGACTTTTCTGACAATAAACACAGCCAAAGGCACGCATTCTTCCTGTCACTAGAACTGCAACACAGTAAAATCAGATCTGCCTCCAGACACTTCTCGGTCACAGTTCTATGCCATGTCCATAGGGAACTTCTGCTGAGAATTACCCATTTGAGATCCAGGACGGGGACAGACACCTGTCTGATTAGGAAGAGGCTTTGTGACAAGCCTGTTTACATGGATAGCGCCCTTTAAACTTCATACCGTCGCCAAGGAAACAATAGATAATGACTCGCAGAAGGAATCTTCACATTTCGCCAGAGGTAAAATTTCCATCTCGCATTCAGGCAATGGATACTTTTCAAAAACCACATCACAGTAACATTTCCTACTGGGAATTACTGTGCATGCTTTGCTTAGCCACTCCATAAAAGATTTTTTAAAAAAACTCTTTTAGAAAAGGCATTTTTAGTAGGAGTGTGTGTGTGTGTTTATTTATTTATGTTTAATGTAACGATTGCATAATGTACTTAATCTTAATGGGCTTTAGGTTAGGTTTTCAAAAGGTATCATGAGTATGAGCAAATTGATGGTAACGTGGATAACAATGAATGAAGAGTTACCGGCAGCTTAAGACACTGTTTATCTCATTTGAGGTTGATGGGATTCAAATTGCTTTCTTAGCTGAGCAATATGCGGTGGAAAAGGAGCCGCACTTAGGAGGCTCTCCATTTGCATTTCTGCTAAATTACTCTGCTCTGCTTTCTAAGACAAGTGACTACGACCGTGGCCCGCAAACTGCGGCTCGCGAGCCACATGCGGCTCTTTGGCCCCTTGAGTGTGGCTCTTCCTAAGCCTTAGGAGTACCCTAATGAAGTTAATAACAATGTACCTACCTATATAGTTTAAGTTTAAAAAATTTGGCTCTCAAAAGGAATTTCAATCGTTGTACTGTTGATATTTGGCTCCGTTGACTAATGAGTTTGCCGACCACTGGACTAGGAGAGAAAACTATGTTCCAGGGAAGTAAACCAGGAGCACAGGGACTAGACGAAGGGATGTTTATCAGTGAAGACGTCAGAAGCGCACCTCCCGTTTTCCTGATACAAAGGCAATCAGAGTTGGGATCAGCGCAGACAGACACTGATGCTCCCCAGGCTCACCAGCTCCCACAGGAGCCAGAGGCGGCCCTGAGATAAACAATCCACACTCCCCAGACCCACCCCTCCTGCCCTGCTGCTATCAGGCGAAGGTTGGAATTTCAATTAGCATCAATCTCCATGTGTTACATCTTGAACAGTCAGTTAACTGCTCCCTAATCCCTACAATGTGAAACACTATTGTTTTGCAAAGGAATTTCCTTTAAACTCACAGGGAAAAAAATTCCTATTTGACCAGTAAAACAATATTTTTCTCCAAATAAAACACTAAATATTAAATAATTGCTTTGTTTTGGATTTTAATAATAGGCCTATTTACAAAAATTGTTATACTTGGACGGTACAAGTTCAGAGGCAACTGAATGTGTTCACGTAGAATTGGAGTCAACAGCCCACTGGCTGCACTGGACATTCACTAGTGTTTCGGAATTCTTCCCACATGTGTATTCCTTGGAAGACTCCTTACGTCATACAAAGCACATACCATGAGCACTGGTAACACGGATCCCACTCAACTCGGTGCCAACATTCCCATTTCCTATGTCATCTCAAATGTCCCCATAGATTTTTTTCTTAAAACTTCCTTTTTCGAAAAATATTGGCTGATGCCTAAGAAAACTGCTGAGAAAGGATACACCTAAAGGATTTCTGCAGATTTCTTATTTCAGTATTTTAGAAGAACATATGGGTATTTGAAAAAAGGATTTCTGCAGATTTCTTATTTCAGTATTTTAGAACATATGGGTATTTGATAGGTACCATCTCTTTCAGAGAAGATTTTAAAAATAATTTTAAATTTATGAGGCAACAAAGCACAATTAACACAGCTTCAGAGATATAAATGTAAAGTAGCTGTCTTAGGTCTGGTACCGTTATGACGAAGGAGTCATTAATAACAGGAAAGAAGCAAGGGAAGGCCAGATGTTAGAGGCATGTCACTTGGGCAGCTGCATCAGAAAGCTACACCTTTACACTCCCCGGGGTCCAACAAAAGGAAGGTGGACTCATGCCCAGTAAAGCTGGGTGACTGGGGAAGGTACCTGACTGTCCACCATACCTGGGGACAGAGGCGGTTTGTCCAGTCTGGGCACGGCCACTGCAAGTGCTTGTAAAGCTGGGTGACTGGGGAAGGTACCTGACTGTCCACACCTGGGGACAGAGGCGGTTGGCCAGTCTGGGCACGGCCATTGCAAGTGCTCAGAAATCTGGGACATGGAATCCCCCGAACAAAGGAATTCGATCTCGCGTGCTTGAAAGATCAGACAGAGGCCGAAAACCAGGACTACAGGCTTTATTAGAGGAGAAGCACCTGCCGGGCGGTCTCCCAAGGGGAGGACAGCAGCACGTGCAGGGGTGGGCAGGCCTTTTGAGGGGCGGAATGGGAAGGAATGGGGGCTTAGTGTTCTCGGCGCATGCTGATTGGTGACTTAATGTAAGGTCCATATAGGAACAAGGGCTTAGGGTATTTGGCAGGTGTGGATTGGTGGTCCAATGTATAGTCCATATAAGGCACATGGTTAGTCACTCAGGTCTTTCCAGGCTGCAGGTTATGTCATACTCTGCCCACCAGTGGGGGGAAGGGAGGATCTATCAGTGCTTTTGAGGCCCTTGGGACGCTTGCTGCTGGGGGAGGGCCCTCCTGCACTCTCCGGTGTGGCCCAAGGCCATGTGGCCCCACACAGTGGACCAATGACTGACTAGCCGGACGCTGACAGGATCCAGCTCAACCTGGAAGGGAACCTGGACACTGGCGGGTCCGAAGCCCCAGCTCCGCTTCCTCCGGGACCGGATGAAGAGAAACGGGACTTCGGAAGCCCAGGGATGTAATTCCACAAAAGTAAAGCTTTCACCCACATCTCGTCCTCCGGTGGGGCCTCTGGAAATGTTATCCCAGCGGCACCCCAAGAACACCATTCCACTGATAACAGCTTCTTTATTGGAATGAAACAATTTTCTCTGTTCAGAATTTCTGAAGAAAGTCTCTCCCTGGGAGGCACATGCAGTTTTGACTGTCTCAGCAAAATTCTAATGGAACTGCTGTTTTCCTCAGACAGTTAGAATGCAAACATTCCTTCCATTCTTTAAAATAATCTTAACAATTGAAGACATCTGAACCAGTTCATTAGAATGCCTGTGGGGCTTTGATAAAAATAAAGGAAGCCCAGTTTATTTTACGTGACTAATGCATCAGGCCGGCTCCCGTTGGGGGCTGCATTGCTAGTTGCTCAGAAAGAGGTTGCAGAGGCCCGAAGAGCACGCCCAGCCCGGACACAGAGCAGAGAGCCCGCGCCCAGGCAGGCTCCTGGGCCGGCGCCAGGGAGCGGGATCAAACACAGGGCAGTCTGAGCCCGAAGTTCCTGCTTTTCATTCCGCCGTGGAGTTTCCCACCATCTGCGTCTAGTCTCCAACCAGTTCTTAACAACGAAACCATCATTTAATATTATAGCCAATACTCCTATTGACAATAATTCAAAACATAATTTTGTGTAATACTAGATATTTTGGGGGTAAAGCATGAATAGTTATTACATTTTATTTCTTTGGAATCTGATGTTATTTTAAGTTTAACTCGACCTAATCCATCCTATAGTCCTATACAGTGTTTGAATACTGCATGTTCTAAAAACTCATGGGTAGTATCCAGCTAACTAAACCTTCTAATGAACTAACAACGCTTGATGTGATGGCTGGGCTTCCCTCATCAAAGAGAAAGTAAGAGTGCTATGAGCTGGTTAGTTGTTATGAAAACAACGCACACTTGTATGTCCAGCAGCACTCTCCTACGTGGGGAGAAAGAAAAGATGTCATTCTTGTTTGCAGGGACTGGAGAGAGGCTGCTTTGGAACCTTGTAACCCCAGGATCTTCACATTCCATGACTGTTTTTTAAACATAAAACAGAAGATGGATTGTTGTCTGGGAAGAAACCCATGCTTCTCATTTCAAGTAACTGCTCCTTTAGCATTGAGGATTTTAGTTTCACACTATTTTTGCATATCCAACTAATTATAAGATTAGAAAACTGATAGATGTGTCAAAACACATTGGCAAGAAAGTGGTTTTTCATAAAAATAAAGAAGGATATAATACAAAATAATAACTTTTGTAGTTGTATTAAATTGGGAGACAAAAGGAAATGGGTAAGAGAAGAAAGGGGCAAGATTTACAGAGTAGAAAGGTGAAGATTGAAAAGAAAGTAACAGGAAGGAGCCACACAACAAATGTCAACCAGGGTTCAGTGTCAAGTGGAAACACTGGATGGAGGGTGGGAAGCGAGGCTGCGTGACACGCACCCAGACTTCAGTACTAAGTGACACTGCACAAAACCAGGCCTCTCATCTTCCATCGAAAGACCACACGAAAGACCACCATGACCTAGTGGCCCATAAAATTCTTATTGTAAAGGTTATGAAAAGCCTCACGTGTTGTTTTATAATTTTAAAAACAAATGTAGAGTCAGTACCGCAAGCCTGGGAATTACTGGGCATCCAGAACCAAACATCAGACAGGTGTTTGCTACGAAAAGAACGACAAGCTTACCGTCGTGATTCGGATTTCCTAGCGTCCATGGCTCATCGGAGTCAAAGTGAGTGTCTCCCCCGATTCCTGGTCCAGGGAAGTAGGCATGTGCCAAAAACCCTCCCTCTCCATCAAAGGGAGAGCTGTCTCCATGGAAACCAGATGCAAAAATGATGGTTATATCCACGTCTCGCTTGCCGTTTTCTAACTCACTGTAGGGCACTTCTTCGAATGTCAGGGGAGTCACGTTCTGCCACACGTCGAAGGCACGGCGGATAGCTCTGCGTGTCTCAGGGTCCCCCACTTTCGGAGTTACATTCTTTATACTGAAATTTAGAGAAAAGAATAAAGCGCATGGCTTCGTTCCAAATAGTCTGACTTAGAGATTTTGATCTATTCAGTGAGTAAAATAACGAATAGGAGAAATGAATTAAAATCTATGCTTCCGTAGCTAGAGCTCACTATACGGGCCGTCTGGTTCTCCGTGGCCCAGCATCCTCCACCCTCGCTGCAGTGGGGGTCCCTGCGGAGTGTGGGGTGGCAGGACCTCCAGGACACGCCGGGGAGGGGGGAGGCACTGCCGATGGTCGGAAGATGCTGAAAGAAAAGCCCAGCATCTTCCTGGGAGCTATGACTTCCAGGGTCAGCGCTGTGTGCCCCCCGCCATCCGAGCCAGGCCTTTGCACACCTATGGCCACCAGTTCTGCAGACACCGTTATTTCTCAGTTTTAAAAGAAAAGGCCAATTAATTACTGTTTCTGATGTTCTATTGTTTTCTTATTATATATGTAATTTGTTCTAGCTAAAATAGGCAATGTGAGCGAACAGCTTTTTAATACAAATATTTAGCAATTATATAAATTTAAAGAAGTAACTTGGGCATTATTTAATTAGTTTATTTGTCTTGATGCTAATAACAGAGATAAAAATTATAAAATTTTCTCAATTTATTTTGCACTAATCAGATATTTCTCTTTTCTCAGTTCTTTTTATATTTTTCTGAATAGAACATGAATGAAATAAATATGCGTACACATATTTTATATTGTTGTAGTATAAGTTTGTATTATTTTTGTGGAAAGCAATGAGTAACTTCCACAAGAAGCATAAATAAATCTCAGACTCCTTCAACCAACAATCTTACAGCCACGAATCCATGAAATCTCACTAAGGAACTATCTTAATATATGAAGGAGGATAGAATATCCAAGTTAATATTTATTTCAATGCAATAATAAAAGAAGTGGGATCTAAATGATTTATGATAATGGAGTGATAGTTCAATGATGGCGTCTCCATTGCGTGTCGTAATATGTACAGAACTTAAAATTAGTTTTGTCTTTTTAAGGCACTTGGCAGCATGGAAAAATAGTTGAGATATATTTCCCAGTGGGGAAATTATACGCAGACTATATTTTAACCCTATTGTAACAATGTCCAGATGGTACATATTCTTATAGATCAAGAAAATGAGGAAGGAAACCGCATGGAAAAGAGTAGGAGAGATGACAAGTGAAGACCAAGGTGGGGACAGCTGGGCCTGGGCTAGTTCAAGGAACAACAACACGCAGCCTGGCCAGCAGGGGGCGGTGTCGGGCCAGGGGCCAGAAAGGGCAGCATGAAGACAAGGCAGGGCTATGGGCCTGGCTTTTGCTCCAGATGAGAGGGGAACACCTGGAGCGTGGAGCTGGTGAGCAGAGAAGTGACACTGGACTACAGGTTAAACCAACAGCTGCGGTCACCACGGGGGAGACAGCAGATTCAAGGCAGTAAGAGTGGAGCAGGGACACCACGAGGGCTTTGGGCCGGGACCAGTGGGGGCATTGGGAAATGCTTGGATGCGGACAGACTGTGTGGACACACCTGCCAAGATGCACTAATGGTCAGACACGGGCTGTGAGAGAGAATTAGTGCCAAGGAAGTCGCCGTACGTCCACCTGAGCCAAGGGATGGTGGCGTGAAAGGCTCGTGCCCTCAGGGAGAGAGGGGTGCAGCATTTCCTTGTGGGTTTATTTATCTCATTTACCTATTCTTTTGCTTTAGGCCCCATTCTGTGTGATGTCATCAACTCCACTCAGAAGGGGACCTCCGACACGGCCTGCCCCGGGCCTCCTGTGTGAGGGCTGAGGAGGCACGTGGTTCATGCTGAAACTCGGACTTTTCTCCAAGTCCGTTTTCCCAGTGGCCTGTCATTCCTTCCCACACTGTGGGCCGCAGAAGTCCCCGTGCTCAGGCAAGTGTGCTTTCGACACACTCTCTGAAAGCATGCAGACCGCGGGGGCCCTGCTTCCTGCCGCACTGCCTGTGAACATGCTATCCCCCGCGATGACCCGATTGTGTACTTAGCCTGCAGTCCAGTGTCACTTCTCTGGACAAGAGACAGAGCTGGAAGCAGGCTTCTTCAGAACTTCTCTATTGTAGTGATGAGAAACAATAAAAAGAACAACAACACAATTAGACAATGACAGACATGATGGTGAGGGCTGAGGAGGCCCGTGAGTACATGATGAGGATGATTTCAATGACAACAGGAGCCACATGTGCCTAGCACTGAGTTCCCAGGGGGGAAAGGGACAGGTAGCAGCCTTGTGGTGTACAGGACGATGATCCAACCAACTGAGCCACATGGCCAGGACAACACTAAAATAATTTTAAAGAGCATCATTGATACGTAACAGAAAATGGAAATGTATAAAATGTTCATTAAAAGCATAGAAGGCAGAAAAAGGGAAGACAAAAGAACACCACAAAGAACAACAGCAATAGGCAGCAGAGAGTTATAAATACAGCAGATACTAATTCAACTATATCAATAATCCCTTGAAACTGAATGGTCACTATACACCAAGGAAAAGAGAGAGAGGATTAAGAAGCTAACAGCAATGACGTGCTGCCAATGAGAAACCAACCTTAACTATAAAGACATTGTAAGATTAAAAGTACAGGGATGAGCATACACCACACTATACTAATCGGAATAAAACCGTAGCAACTACATTAATTGCAGACAGAGCTGGCTGCAGAGCAAGGAACATTACCAGGGAGAAAGAGCATGCTGCGTAATGATAAAGGTGTCAGATTTTCACGAAGACATAGCAGAACGTAATGTTTATGTGCCAAGCCACAGAACAACCAAGCACATGAGGCAAAAGCGGACAGAATTGCAGGAACATAGCTAGACGAATGCACTGTCTCAGTTGGAGCCTGGACCGGCCCTGCCTCAGTAGCTGGCAGCCCTGCAGACGGGAAACAGAGGTGGGCACGGGGAACGGACCCCTCAGTCAGCTCACTCATCGTGGTCAGCCTCACTGACACTTCATCTGTCAGAAGACTCGACAGACCCCTCACCAGAGGAGACGTAAAGCTGGCCAGCAAGTACAGGAAGAGCGGATGTCATTAGGAGCTGCACGCTGAAACAACGAGGACCCACTGCACACCTGCTAGACTGTCACAGGAGGGCCCACAGCACCCAGCACTCTCCTCACAGCACTCTCCATGTGGCTTCCTGCAAAGGCACTGCATGTGACCAGGCTTTACGGTCACACGGACATTGAAAGTCCTCAGCTATTCAAAGACATTGTGTTTAAGTGGCAATTACCTGTGTGGTCACTTAGGGTCTTTTAGATTGTGAACTCTAGTGGGAGAACGCCATGTGTCCGGGTAGGCGGCGACAGCCCCTCAGAACACAGGTGTGCCTTCGGAGCACTGGAGGTGCAGTTCACCGCAGAGCCACGGGGGCCCCCAAAGGGCAAGCCGTTCTCTTTCTCTATCGTGGCTTTACGTTCCTTGTGTGAACATTGTACCACAACAGGTCACCCTGTAGTCAGCGTGTGTAAGGTGTCAAGAGACATCTAACTGAGCAGCAGTGACACGTGGAGACGGGACGTGGCCTGGTGCTCCTACCTGTAGGTGATGTGCTTGTGCTGCCACTTCTGGCCCGTGAGCGCGTATCGCTTCCGGCGGACGCTGAACCTGGAGCCGCCTCTGGTCTGGTCAGGCACCCCACACCGGGGCCTCTTCATCCAGCTGCAAGAAGCAGGCCTCCGTTAGTGAGCAGCCTCATCGCTAACCTCAAAGGACACCAGCGGGAAGCCGTCTACGGTGGGATGAGGAGACCGGAAAACCAAAGCAGAAACCCGCCCACTTTCTTGCGGTTTGAATCTAAATAGAAAGCACATTATTTTTCCTGAATGATCAAGATTCACTAGCTTACATCACAGAGCTTTTAGATATTTTTCTCTCTCTAATTTATTTTGAGCCAGTGGTAGACTGAGTGTCTTAAAATGAGACTTTGAAAAGAAATTCTCAGTAAGGTCTCCTCCAGCTCTAACATTCAACAATGTTTAAAATCTATGACGTGACCTTAAATTCCAGCAGCTAAGAGGGTGTGCCTTGCACACAGAGAACTTGTTTAATAGCATTTGCCTTCCCACCTTTTCTTCTTTTCACTGTCATTGTCCTAATTCCTAAGTAAGAGCCACACGATAACCACATTCCATGCTTAAGTAATGTTTTCTCCTGAATATGAGGTTAGCACCACAGAAGTAAGGTTTACGTGTTTATATTAAGAAAACGAAATGCTGCTTTTGGTTTATAAACTTTGAACATTTCACAGGTGCAGGCGTCTGCAATCCTGGAGACGCGCTGACTACTGCTGTTTTCTATGTGGTCTTGCTTCTTCTCCAAACAGAACGGTTTTCCTGCTGCTGGGACTTTTTCTGTAGTGACTCATAAAGGGCTCTCCTGTTCATGACCCCGTTTAATGTAACGCTTACAAAGCTGGGGCAGACTCCATGGTCCCACAGGCTGCGGAAAGCGGAGATCAGGAAAGAATCAAAGAGAAAGAGGGCTCTGGGCGTGGACAGCAGCGTGTGGCTGTGGGTGGGGTGCCTGGCAGTGGGAGAGGGCACGGAGGGGATCAACGGTGATGGGAAAAATAAAGCAAAATAAAAAGAATCCACTTTTGCTGTATTTCACCAAATACTTCACAGTGTCTATACTCTTGAAAGGGATGAAGCTCCTGTGGAGAAGACTGTCAGCGATGTCCATTTGTGGGAATAAATGACATGGTTTGCATGTGACGTGGATAAATCAGCTTTTACAAACAGAGACATGCTGCCTGCAGCAGTGAAACCATGACTCGCTTTTCCAGGCAGTGGGCGGTCCCCTGCGCTGGGCCCGGCAGGAACGTGGCCGTGGCATGGCTGACCTGCGCTGGGCCCGGCAAGAGCGTGGCCGTGGCATGGCTGACCTGACGGCCCCACCAAGGTGACAGCTGCTTCAGAGAACCACCCCGTGTGTTTATCCAAGTCTCCAGATCCAAGATGTCCTGAAAGCACTCATTCCGCAGGCTGTCGGCCTCAGAACTGGCTGAGCTGACTGAGCGGAGGCTGGGCCCGATCCTACAGTCACCCCGGCTCCCAGGACTCTGAGGGTTCCCTGGCCTGACGCACCGGGCCCCCCTGGTGGCACCCCTGGCATAAAACCACATCCAGTGATGAGGAACCTGAAGAGCCATTCCTCTTCATTACACGTGCAAGACCGCGATTTGGACCCAGACGCCAACACCAGGCATTACTGGTGGGCTGAGGATGAGGGAAGCGGCTTTAATATATGGGTGTTTCGTTAATCACATCAACAAAATTATAATACTCCTCAGGCAAGTGCTTATCCTTACCTATTGTACTGAAATAATAAATAATACCAAGTTATTAAAGATGCACAAATGTGCTTAATGCAGAATGCATGTGGTCACATATTTAGCTAAGGAAAATATTTAAGGAAATGCTCTAAGTGGAGAAATAATTTTGAAATGGGTAGTGGGATAAAATTTGACAATATGGAATTAGTTGTTATCAGAATCAAATGTATGTTCGATGAAAATATATTCTCTAAAATTACATTAATAATCCACAAAATTAAAAGGCAAAGTTGGTAACTGAAAACGATTTCACTGTGTTGCCCTCGCTTCCATTTAGGCCGCGTACATGCGAGGGAGTTCCTCCGAGCAGCCCGCTCCCCAGGGCAGGCCTCGGCCACACAGGTCCCTGGGCTGATCAGAATCTCTGTTGAACTCCTTAGAGATTTCTTTGGCTTTTGCATATAATTTTGTCTTATGTTCCAAGTGTTTGTTCACTTATTTACTCATCCTGATCCATTCATCCTACAATATTTCTGAGCATTTATAACACGCTGAGAGGCATTAACTACTGTGAGGATAAAAGAGAAGCAAGGCCAGAGCCCTCGCTGAGTTCACACACCGTCGGCCAGACATGCCTGATAAACAAGGCTCCCAACACGGGCTGACTCGTCTCCATCGAGACACCTGCCACATGTGTTGCTTTACATGTAGTAAAACACACAGGTGTTGTTCCTGCCCCAAACTTGCACCAACTGTTCTGATGCCTAATCTCAGCCCAAATCAGAGCACCCCCAATGCCTGGGCCGGACGGCCTTGCAGGTCCCACTGCCCTGCTCTGCCCCACATCCAGGAACCACAGCGCAGCCTCTGCTGCCGCCCACCCCCCAGGTGCCTCTCCCCTCCGCTGCGCCGGCCTCCTCCTCCTGACGTGCACTCCCCAGGCACAGACCGTCCTCCTCCTGTTCGGCCATGAAACACCCTGTAGAAGGACTTGGACACAGGCCTCCTTAGCTGGGTCCCTTGCCCTCCGCTTCCCCAGGCCACCCAGGCCCACAGCCCAGCCTCCCTCTGCGTAGTGTAGTGGCCCGTGTCAGGATCACCGTCCCCGCCCTGTTCCCACTGAGAACCCCCACACCCTCACATGCAGCTCCCTCAGGCAGAGCTGCCGCCTGACGCAGCAGGGCTGTTCTGTGGTTTCCGACCTGCATGTCTGTCTGGCCTGGGCATCGGGCTAGGGAGCCTGTGGGCCCGGCCCAGGGCCACCCCTGCGTCACTGCAGTGAGGCGGGGGCTCAGGAGCCCAGTCGGCAGCCTCTGCACCTGCTGACCTGCCCGCTGTCCAGCAGGTTCCCGTGGACTTCGTAGTCCTCCCAGCTCTGCGCCTTCAACAGAAGCTGACTGGGCGGACACCGCACGGGCACGCTTACGGGCTAGACTAGCTCATCAGGCAGATGCTGACGTGCAGCATGAAGCTCGGGCAGGCCTGATTTGACACCAGCAGAAACTTCACGCAAAGAAGCCTTAGTGAGGGTTGGTCAGGCTGAGAATATTCCACCTTAACTTCACCAGTATTGACACCCACACACTGTGGCGCGGAGCTACCAGTGGGCATTGTTTATTGAAATATGTAAAACCCCAACAATACGATCAAAGGGCATTCTGACAGGAACCGTCTCTGTGGCAAATTGGTCTTCAGGCTTTTACGGGACTGCAACATTTAAAACACTTTTCAGGGAGGGTGGGGGTGAGGGGAAGAGATCAACCAAAGGACTTGTATGTGTGCACATAAGCAAAACCAATGGACAGGGACAACAGGGGGATGAGAGCATGAGTGGGGCGGGGAGGTGGGGGGTTAATGGGGGGGATGAGGACACACTTGTAATACCTAAACCAATAAAGAAATTAAAGATAAAAAAAACACAACTTTTCATTCCGGAGCAGGCAGGGTTCCTCTACCTTAACCAATAAAGAAATTAAAGATAAAAAAAAACACAACTTTTCATTCCGGAACAGGCAGGGTTCCTCACACGTTTTTAAAGTGGGTGAGAGGCCCCGTCGGTGAGCGCAGGGCTGGCGCCTGCTCCTCTCAGTACTCACAGCCACTTGGGGGCTCTGGCTGCCGCAGCCATTTCTAGACCAACACCAAGTTATTGTGCAACAAAATGCTAGTTGCACCCAAATACCATTTTGATAAATACCCGTGACAAGGGGCAGACTCTGCATGCCAGAGTGAACCCTGTGGTCTCCCTTAAGGTGACAGACATCCCAGGAAAGAAACAGGCCTGACGGGGGTGTGTGGGGGGCAGCAGGGGAGTCACCTTGAATGTGATATCCCACCAAACTGCAATGCAAACACTCTGACACATAAAAGATAAACTAAAATTTAAAAATGTCTCCTATTAACATTGTAAGATCATATTACACTCATGTTCATTGTTGCCGTGCCATGTCTTTCTCTCCTTTTCTTCATAACATAAATGGTTCCATTTATTAAGGAACTTAAGTGAGCTTTCTCCCAAAAATTAGCTAAGAAACCCATTATTTGAAAGAACCGTTGACATATATGACAATGAGCTCATTTTCATATATGTATTTATTACTATCTTTCCAACCCTAATGCTGATTAATATAAGAGCGATACAGAACGCCATGTAAGGTAACACCTTCATCTGTGGTGGGAAAATGGTTCCTTTCTTCAGCACGATACAGAGGTGACCACAGCTGGAAGCACTGCTTTTAAGTGCCCGAGAATTACAGACTGAATGCACTAATGTCTGCCTGCCGAAGGAGAGCGGAATTATTTAACTTAAAAACAATTGATCTTGCCAAGAGTCTAAAATCAGATAAAAGTTTATAGCTACTCAGAGTGAATCCTAAGACATTTCAACAGAGAGGAGTGATTTCGGGCCTATAGGTGCAGTCCATAGTGGATGTCCTCTGACTGTCCTGGTAACCCGGTGCCGTTGTGGCGAGGGTGGTTTCTTTATCGGAAAAGGTGGAGAGAAAAGTGCGCCCATCTCCCCCTGTGGGTGTTGATGGGTAATGACCACAGGGCGTGACGAGGGAGATTTACTTTGTGCCAAGAACTCGAAACACCCAGGGGCTCCAGGAGGGAATGAGCCTGTCCCCTCTGCTCTCCGGAAGCCATACCGCCTCCACACTGCTGGGACCTTGCAGGCACCGTGACCTCCGGGCCCCTAGCAAAGAGCTGAGGTCCGTGAGCTGCCTCTGCCTCCTCCACAGAGGAAACGCCCCGTGGAGACGGCTGCTGAGGAACTGCGTGTGCGAGTGACTGAGGCCTCAATCAGTGAGATGACAGACGCTATTCAAGAGCGAAGAAGCAACTGAAGGCAGAGACTTTCCAGGGAAAACCCCTCCTTGATTAACTGGTCGGGGCAATTTTCCCTTGTGGACCGTCAGGAAGCTGAAGACTAGCTCTGCCCTCTCCCCCAGGGGCCCTGGTTTGGACAGTTGTCCATCTCCCTTGGGGTCAGAGTTCTAATTTGGCCAATTTCAAGTGGCCGCTGGGCCACAACTCAGCAGGGAGCAGATGTGCCGTGTGCCCTCCCAGCCGGACGCCCGCCAACAGGTCGCGGTCACCCCTCTTGTCCTGGCTGCAGCGGGGCCCGCCTGACTCTCCACCCCCGGGCACCGTTTCGTTCCTATTTTGAAAATGTGTCTCTGACATCAGCTGAGCAAATTTGACCTCTCACAGGACTGAGCTTAAATAGGCTCAATTCCAAAGGCAAGTTCCCAAACGAGCGACCCCATTGGAGGTCGCCGGGTCATTCAGGTTTTCAGAAGACGTGGTCTGGCTCAGGGGCCCCGAGAACGTGCGTGTGTGACTTACTCGATGGTGTTCCTGTCCACCTTGCCCGTCATGTTGATGCCGTAGAACTGCTGCATGGCCGCGAGGGCCGACTGCATGGCCTCGGCCGAGCGCAGCACCGCCAGCCGCGGCTCCGTCGGGGGCAGGTAGCCGTACTTCTGCAGCCACACCTGCAAGACAAGCAGCTCCTTTGGGATCAACGTCACCACCAGCAAGGATTTCAGGGTAACGTGTACGTCCGTGTGGACCTCTAAACGTCATTTCCTTCACAAAGGCATCTGTTATTTAAGGGAATTACCTCTTTTCAACTATTTAAGGGCTTTTATGCCTTCTTAACATATATTCTGTACTTAAATGTAATCTCAGTGGTGGTTACAGGTATTTCTAATACACCTACAAACGTTAACTGAAAAAAAAAAGATGATTCATTTGTTGCATTCAGACTGTTTATAAGGCATGGTAGTAAATACTGGCTAAAATCATAAATAAGATTATTCCTGCCCTCTGGGAACTCCACCTCTCACATAAAGGATGGCACGTTTCCACGCTCTGCCCCGGGGCACCCGCTGGCAGGAGAGGTGAACGGGCAGCTGCCCCCGAAACTGCCTGCTTCCCGAGCACCGGGCCTGAGATGCGCTGGGAGGAGCTGTGTCCGCACAGGGAGGCCCCGGGGTGCCGTCCCCACGCTCTGGGGACAAAAGGTCTACCCACTGCTGCTGGCTGTCTTCGAGGACCGGTAACGGTTTCTCATGCAGGGAATGTTCTTTCATGTGTAAGGCGAGTCCCTTCAATCCAACTTTCCGAAACAATCAGCCGATCTGAAGGAGGTCTGCCCTCCCTCTGAGGACCTCATGGGGTTTATTCCTCCTTGCCAGGTAGGAGCCACCTGGGAGTCCCTGGGGGAGAGATGGCGGCTTGCGCTCCATCCCGGTGGGGACTATAGCAGCAAGTCAGAGTCCTTTAAGGCTGGATTTTTAAAAGCCAGCATTTCAGGGGGAGGGGGATCATCAGCAGAGAGCGGATGCTTCCTGGTTTTAGGTTCTAGGATTTGTTTCAAAGGCACAGCCCTATGTTCAGGGCACATCCCATGGTGCGGTCGCTTCCTCAGGTGTCCCCAGGCCTCCCGGGTTTCTGGAAGTGCAGCAGCAGCCTGTGGGCCTGAGAGGTGGGTCGAGAGCCCAGGGCACAGCCAGCAGGCGCTGTGGATGCAGGCGCCATCCTCCCACACCCCCCCCCCCCCCCCCCCCCCCCCCCGCGAGGGCGCTGGTCCTGTGAGTGATGGTCCCAGGAAGCCCCAGCTTCCCGAAGCCTGACCCTCTTCCATGTGGGCCTTGCAACCAACACACAGGGAGTGACCCTCTCGGAGAACATGAACAGCCGTTGTGGAAGTTGATTCCACTAAAGGAAACTGATACTAAACATGTCAACGTCTTCACATGTGAAACAACTATGAGGTGGACTATTTTGTGATATTTTCAAGAAATTGATCCCCGAAGGTGCAAAACTATAAGCACAACTTGAAAATAAAACATTTATTCCAAAAGCATGAAGGTTTATAGCAGAAACTGCACCAGTGAACTCACCCACTAGACCAGCGGTTCTCAACCTTCCTAATGCCACGACCCTTTAATACAGTTCCTCATGTTGTGGTGACCCCCAATTTCATTGTTACAAATTGAACATAATTAAAGCATAGTGATTAATCACAAAAACAATATGTAATTATATATGTGTTTTCTGATGGTCTTAGGCGACCCCTGTGAAAGGGTCGTTGGACCCCCAAAGGGGTCGCGACCCACAGGTTGAGAACCCCTGCACTAGACAGTGATGACACAATGACACTTGTCTCACCTACACACTCTCAGTTACCTGTCAAAGGTGTGTGGTCTGAACAGATGCCATGGTTTAGGAAACTCACTCAACCCCGCCTGCCATGCAACTTCCCCCAATCAGAACACCCCAGCTTCATTTCAGTAGTACACATGCACTAATATCCTGAATTTGAACTCTTTTATTGGCAACACTTTGTTTGCTGGAGAGCTGACTTGTTGCTAGGCTACTTGTGGGTGCCAAGCTACTGGCAACAACATTTATGAGTCAAGAGAAAACCATTAATAATAAATCCTGTGATTTATGTACAACTAGAAAGAGCATAAAATGTGTAAGTTTTAAGCACATAATCAGAAAATAGCATGTTCTAAAAAATATTAGATTTATACCTTAGCCTTTAAAACAAATGAATTAGAATAATAAAAAATGAATTTGTGGAATATGATGAACAGCATAAACTGATAAACAAAAATAGATCCAGAGACATAGAAGCATCAAACAGACTGTCAAACCTCAGAGAGAAGGCAGGGGAGGATGGAAGGGAGCAAGGGGATGTGGGTAAGGGATCAACTAAAGAACGTGTATGCATATAAGCATAACCAAGGGACACAGACAATAGGGGGGTTGAAGGCCTGAGTTGGGGGGTGGGGGTGGGCTGGGAGAGGACAATGGGGGATAAAGGGGATATATGTAAAACTTTCAAAAATAAATAATTTTTAAAAAAATTGTGATTTTCTTAAAGTTCTCTTTTATGTCATTTAGCATGAAAAGCTGTTTTTCCATATGAGTGAGAAGTGAGCAATTCTTTTTAATTGTAAAATATCAAGTTAGCTATGAGACCCACCATTTTATGGTGAAAGTTTGTTTCATGGCCAACAAACAGATCAATGTCATTAAGCTTATGGGTCACCTTGAGTTGACCATTCTTAATGTCACTGTTATTTGTTAATCAAGACACCTTCTCTAACATCAAGAATTGACACAGAGCAGACTGGAGGTTGCCGGAGGGGAGGGCTTGGGGCTGCATAAAAGAAGGTGAAGGGATTAAGAAGCACAAAATGGCAGTTAAGGTCAAGCACAGGGTGGGGCGTGTAATCCGTACAACATGGATGTCAGGTGGGCACTGGGGATGCCGGGGAAGACGGCAAAGCATATGATCATCTACCGCTACGCTGCACACCTGAAACTAACAGGAAATAACACTGAACGTAAACTGTGCTTGAAATAAATAAATACCGGCAAGAGAGCACTAAGACAATGGCCAGGAGTTGAAACTGTAACACATCTTCCACAAGACAGTGGAGACTCCCACATGACTGCCATGGCGTCAGGTTAAAGTGTGAAACCACCAACCTTTCTTATTGGAGCTAAATCTTCCACAGACAACCTTACTCTAGGTCAGTGGTTGTCAACCTTCCTAATGCCACGACCCTTTAATACAGTTCCTCATGTTGTGGTGACCCCCAATTTCATTGTTACAAATTGAACATAATTAAAGCATAGTGATTAATCACAAAAACAATATGTAATTATATGTGTTTTCCGATGGTCTTAGGTGACCCCTGTGAAAGGGTCGTTCGACCCCCAAAGGGGTCTCGACCCACAGGTTGAGAACCGCTGCTCTAGGTCAATGTGAGAAAGCAACAGTCCCACCTACAGTGACTGGCAGTATGAACTGGACCACAGTGCTTCTTTGCACACATAGTACTCAATGTGGAGACTGCAGATGGAAACAGACACTTGCTTCACAGTCTTTCATTCGCCAAGGGGAACCTTCTCTTGGGCTTGCTTGTGTCTTATGCTCCATCACTGCACCTGCTGAGACCCCAGAATTCTGAGAGTCCGATCATCCTGGTCTGACAGAGAAAAGATCTGGACCAAATACCCCTAAACAAGACACCTTCTCTTGGGCTTGCTTGTGTCTTATGCTCCATCATTGCACCTGCTGAGATCCCAGAATTCTGAGAGTCCGATCATCTCTGGTCTGACAGAGAAAAGATCTGGACCAAACACCCCTAAACAAGATGATGTTCATGCTCCTGAGAAGATGAAGTTGGTCAACAAGGTGACATACAACCAGCCAGACACAAGCTGGAGGCGCACCCACTGTCACTGGAAGGAAGCCACTGTGGCTGCAGGCACAGTGCTTCATCAAGACTGACTCTCAGTGGCCAGTGAGTGAAGGTCAGGTACACACACTGGTCTGCAGTCATCACAGAAGAACAGGAGACTCTGGGGTCAGAACCTCATTCTATTTCTATGGAATAAAAACCTCTGGTTGCATAAGCATAGCACAGTACGTAGCCGCCACACTTCATCATTCTACAGCAGTGAGCCAGAGGCAGTTTGGGAAATTGCAAAGAGGAAGACTTTCCCTTCTCTCTCTTTTTTAAATTTAGTTTTTATTGTTGACAGTATTACAGATGTCCCCCATCACCCCCCCCAACTTTGTCCTCTCTACCTAGCATCCTTTACTACTAAATTGCAAACTTATAATATCTTATTGATAAAAAAAATAAATTAAATCTACAAACTAATATTTGAAGGTAACCTCCCCACCTTTACAGACTCTACCATGGGCATCCATCCACACACATGGTTATTTGAAACATATCCCAGTTTTCAGCATTGTTTTAAAATATTGCTTCTCTGGGACAATTGGAGATAACAAATTTGCCTCCTGAGATTGTTTGTCCCTTTGGTATTTTTTCAAAGTTCTCAAAATAAACATAGTGGGTAGTTGAGGAATAATTTCCTCTCATGTGCATTTGGGAAAAATGACATTAAATTTGTAGGGCTCATGGGAGGATTGATAATATATAAGTGCATGACCATAATTCTTGCTCAATACATCATATGTTGTCCTCATAACTTCTCTGAGTTCTTGAAGTTGCTTCTGATTGAGTTAAGATCTGTCCTTGGAATGAGGCAAGACTGAAAATGCAGGTGAGACCTGAGTGGCCAGAGTTTCGAGGAAAGACAAAACATGGAGGGTAAAGAATCAGCTACTTCTTGGCAATTCCCCAAGTGCCAAAACAAAAAGGGGAAGCATGACAAATCTGGCAAATTATTTGGTTTTGGTTTCTTTGCTTTGTTTTGCTCACTGGATGGACATGTGCATTTGAGGGCGATGAAAACAAATTAAGAGGAAAACAATTTCCTTCAGCACAACTTGACTCCTTTTACTGTCCAGACTTAGCTTATCTCATCTTCACTGGAACAACCACCTACAGAACCTCAACTGCAGCAGCAAAATCTAACCTTGAATTTCACCCTGCATGACACATTCAGATACCTTACAGACAAAACACATCTCCTGCACTTAGTTACTATTCAAACA